GAAACATACGAGTATATAAATTATAATTAAAATTAAAAACATATAATTAGGTGACTTTCCTATGATATATTTATAACAAAAAAATTAAAAAATTGAATAACAATATGAAATATAAACAAAATTTAAATAATGTAAGAACATTTAGGGATTTTAGTTTTATATATTATTATGCATTATTTATTATCTGCATATTTTAACTAAAAATTATAATTGGGTGACTTTCCCATGATAAATTTCTAATTATAAACAAAAAATGTGATTTTTCTATAGGTAAGTAACAAATTTATAATAAAAATTAAAAATTAAATAACAATATAAACAAAAATTTAAGTAATGTAGGACATTTAGTTTTTTGTTTTACTTATTAATATACATTATTTATCATCTGCATATTTTTGACTAGAATGAATTTATTTTTGTGGTTTCTCATTTCCTGAGAGCATATGATGAAACACAGCACAATTTTCATGGAAAAATAGTTTAATTGTAATCATAGTTTTTAATGTTTTATATTTAGTTTATTTTTCTCATCAGTCAACAAATAGTTCATGTGTCAAAATATCTGCTCAACGCTTGCATTTGTTCCTGGAATGCACATAAAGAATTCCACAATTTTTTTTAAGTTTGAAAAGACTACATTTTCACCAACTGATTTTATTTTGAAAATAACCACCATGATGTATTCTAATTTCTTATTTTTTGGTAGAGTGTCGCTCATTGAATTGTTCTTCAATAAAGTCATTTCATCAAGCAATATTGCTTCATCTTTGGATGAAAAAAATTGAGGTCAGGTACTTTATTAAGCTAATAATTTTTTATAATTTTATCCCAATTAAAGTGTTGTTGAATATTTTTCAATGTTATCCCAGATATACCGTCAAACTGGTTTAAAATAGCTCTTACCTATCAATTATTCTAAACATGTCGAATAGAATATATTTTTGTAGTTCCTAAATTGTATTTCAGTAAATAATACTTCATCTCTTAAGTTTTTAAAAAAAGTTTTTTCTTTTGATGTAACAAAATTACCTTTTTGTTTTCCAATTAAACATTCTTTTAAGTAGTTTACTTATATTTTAACTTCAACCACAGATATATCATAACCTTCAATTAACCGAATGACTGATGAAAATAACTCACATTGGACATTTAAAAACATTGCCATTAATAATGATATTGGATTTTCAAAAAATGTTTTGAGGATAAATGGACATTTTTCTATTGAAAGAAAATAAGATTTCTAATAAACATTTCTATCAAACATGTCAAAGCTGACCTGGATGCAGAGAGAACCATCTTGTTTTTGTAATCATTATTTACAAAATCACATAACTCTTTAAGAATATTAGCACGGACCGAATAAATATAAAAATGTTGAAATATTTTGGATATGATCATTTGTAGATCAATTGGTTATGTATTCGATGTACTTTGAATGGCATTGTTTAATATGTGCTCTAAACATCCGATTTTAATAATACTATTTTCAACATAACCATTTAAATAAGTGAAAAGATTATTTTTTCCTCGTTTAAGTATACCTCCAAAATTTGTATTAGTATTGTCTCCTGATAATGCAATTATTTTTTTTTTAATTTTTCATATCTTTTTACCAATTTCCAAACATAATTTGTTAATTGTTCAGCCGTTTCCTAGATCAGTAAATTCTATTATAACTGTTTTTATACCTATTTCCGGCAAAAATAAAAATCCATTTTCCAAAAATTTCCATTTTTTTCTATTTTTAAATATTTTGTGTTCATTTTTTCATTTATAACAATAATTTTATAAAAATTTTGTTACAGATCGATAAAACTGTAGATGAAGTATTCACATATGTATGTTTTATTATCAATTTATAAACGTATCAATGACGTAATTGTAGATAATTTTGTTAAAATAAAGCCATTAACTTTGATTGACTTTGAAAAAACTGTATGTAACATGTTAATTAATTGAATGATTCGTTTTTATAATTCACGATCTAGAGCAAACATGGAAGTAGAATTTTTTTTTTAATAAAATATTTGAGTAATGATGTACGATGAATTATAAAAAAAATTAAATCACAAGAACTGGACGAGTATTTGACTTTGTAAAATTTTTCGAGTTAGATTTGAGTATTTAGAGTATTTTGAGAAATTAATTAACATGTTGTATTTCAGTAGTATATCAGTATGTAAATCAGTGGATCTCAACCTGGAGGGGCCTCCTAGGGAGCGTGAAAATTTTGAAAAAAAAAACACGAAAAATGAAAACGTTGCCGTTTTCTACGCCGTGTCTTGCCGCTGTGTTAGTCGTCGCCATGGTCGATTTTTTTTTATGCAAATATATTAATTTAATATTAAAAAAACTTCATTGAAGTTGTATTCTTATTAATCCAACTAGCTTGATTACCCGGCTTCGCACGGAACATTCTTGGCAGAGACATAGGTTTTAATGGATTAATTATATTTAGGGTTCTTGGGTTCCAGAATCGGTTATTTTAGGTTCGGTTCCAGCCCCTCTATTAAAGTATAGTTTACATATAAATATTATCCATTAATAAATCTTAAAGTAGTGAGAGGGTGAGCATAAACTCATAAAATAGTTTTAAAGAGGGCGCGGACCTCAAAAGATTGAGAACCCATGTTGTATATAGTTTCGTTCAATGTCGATCAAAGTTAATAGTCCATATTTGAATATAATTATCTTCAATTACGTCATCGATACGTTTATTAGCGATAATAAAACATACAAATTTGAGTACTTCACATTACTGATGGGAAAAATCCGGATTCGCTGAAATTTGAAAATCCAGATTTTTGAATTTCGCAATCCAAAATCCGGATTTTGCATTGGATCCGGATTTCGGATTTGAAAACATTGAATTAGTATTCTTTCAATAACTATTTATAGTAAATACAAAATAATTAAACATTCTCAAAATTAAATGATATTTTGACTTAACCTAATTAAGAATCTCATATAAAAGTTTTTGTTTAATATTATATATACAAGTCAGATACTATAAAATATATTTTAGTTATTATACGTTGTATCTCCAAAAATAATGGTACGTAAGACTTGAAGTGTTTACCAATTATTAAAATATCTTATTTAGACCACCATAATCTGGTCCAAGAATTAAAATAACGACTAAAAAGTAGTGTAATGAAATTTATATGATTAGATCACAGAAATTTGCAATAATAAACCCAAATCTCGGATTTTCTAGCCTGAAATCCGAAATCCGGGTTTGGCTAATTTTCGAAGAATCCGGATTTCATTCCCACTACTTCACATACGTTTTGTCGATCTGTACTGACATTTTTACAAAATTATTGTTAAAAATGGAAAAATGAATATAAAATATTAAAAGAGAAAAAAAATGGAAATTATAAAAAAAAATAAAAAATGATAGGTATTTGTTTCGAAATTAAAATTATCTTTCTATAATTTTCAAAGAAAAAGTATATTTCCCATTAAATGCTTAGGCAAAAACTCTCGGCCTAGGTACATGGCCCACGTGCCCAAAGAGTAAAAATGAAATTGAAGACAAGGATAATTTTATGTCAATATTATATTAACTGACATTATAGCGTTTACATGCATTTATTAACCTCGAAGTAAGAGTTAATTCAATTTGGAGAATATAATCTGTTATAATATTGTAAAACATAACATTAGTGACTCATATGTATATTAGTATTAGTAATTAATAAATTAAATTAATTTTAACTATATATTAATATCTTTTGACATTTAATATAATAACAACTCTATCAAAAAATAAATCATTATCTAAAGCGACATTAATAAACTATCGGATAGTTACATTATCATTATTTAATAAACACATTTCATTAATGAAATTTATATAATAATAAATTTATATGAAAATCACCTCTATATTCTTAATTTATGTCGGCTAACATCACACAAAATAATCAAACAAATGTCAAAAAACAACACCATAAATATTACATTATTGGTATTAGGACATTTTCTGAAATTGTAAAACCATTATAATAATCATTAATAAATGACGATAAGAAAGGCAATCTTGTCAATACTCCAAAGGGCATAAATAGGCCTGTCTCGCAAGCAAGAGCGTCGGTCGGTTACTGGTCACCATACGAAGAGGATTGACACGTTTTTATTGTACGCCTGCAGAGTATTGACGAGATTTGTCAATCGTATCTGAATTTTAAACATTTCTAAGTGCGTTTAATTATTTTAAAATATTTGTCAACTCAAGATCTACATGTTGTACGAGAAGTAAAATAAAGGTAAGAATTAAAAAAATTCACTTTTAGAACTCTTAAAGTTCATCCCATATTTTACCCTATTTCTGTACTACTACAAATCAAATAACAAATGCACATTGGCTTAGTACGCATTAAAAACGCGTTCACACGCACCCTAGCCCCGGATCAACTATTTGCGCGTTAAATTAATTCGCATTAACGGCTGTATGTAAACAGGATTACAGACACACGTTATTTCACAATTTAGGATACCTATGTTTTCGTGTCAACATACTTCAAACAAAAATTGGCTTATATCCGTTCTCGTAGAATTCGAAAAAAAAAACACGCAAAACATGAAATGTGATCGTGGATCTCAAACAAGATAAGGGTGGATATTTCAACCGTTATATTGTTAATCGTAACATTGACGGCAGTGTCTGGCCAAATTTCTTTACATCTAAACATGTGTTACCGTGACGAATTAACCACTCGGCACGCAACATCATTTGCGAGTATATATTTTCACGAATGCACATTGGCAAATCGATTACTAGAACTAAGTTAACCAATGTTTACCTAGAAAAATCTCCATTCAAATACAACCGAACGCAAAGAGAACGGTCTTCGGACCGTTGGTTTAAAATAATCAATAATACGCGCGAGAGAAAAATAAAATGGGGAGAGCCGTTTGTCTGAGTTGTCGGATGCACTTCAACTGCGCACGTTGGTCACACCTTCACGCAAACTGATTGTCTCGGCACACGTGCTTGATAACGAAAATCGGTGCACAATTACGACGAGAGGATCGCAATAGCAATTCGAGCTAGTTTTTCGGAGCAGTTATCATCAAGATCTATAAAGATCTTCTAATTTCCGACGAGTAATACGAAAACTTCACATTTTTCAACTCTCGAAAATGCATTTGAGATACTATCGCGGAGAGGATGGCAATCGGGTGTACACCCTGAAGGTACAGTATAATCACGGATTGCCTTGGTCATAATATTATTCATCGATTCACTGACACTCGGTGTGATCATTCTTTCCATCGCAATTTTAGTTGCACTTGTTAACGTGCGTCGATATCGTGTAAGACTTTTGGACTTGCGATAAGATTGTTTTCAGTCATACGAAACATAGCAGTCAACTAATATAATTATTGTGTTGGTCTTTTAATACTATTTTATTACTTTTCTCTTAAATTTGTCATACTTCGATCTAGCGTCTGCTAGTTTTCTCTTTGTATATTATAGCATCATTCCTACTATATCATATTTGTGTTATTAATAATTTTCACTTATAGTTTCTGGTCCTGTGGATATTTATTATCATTTATCAAGTTATTAAAATTCAGTAAACAACTTTCAAAATGCTTTGAATATTTTAATCGTATTAATAATATATTAGTAGTAATATATTTACCATGATACATATATTATTCTGTATTCAAAATAAACATGCATTATGATTGGAATAATTAACATTTATCTCAAAATTATGTTGTGATGGACCTATAAAATTGTGATTTTTAACATAATGTATTGAATGAAATCAGTTGTTGGGTGTGGTTAAACTTTTTTTTTTTTTATCATTTCTGTTAATCAGTTTTAAGGACATCTAGTAGAAAGTATTAAAAAAAGTACAGTAATTCATATTACCATAGATATATTTAATCAATTAAGCCAATTACACAAATTAAGTGTAATATACTGGGATTCTTAAATTGCATAAATTATATTATAATAAAATTAGTACACTTAAAATACTTAAAATAATCAGAAATTAGCAATTATTTACCTGGGAACATTTTTAATTAATATGTTTATACATTATTAACTTACTCAAATATAATATACTTAAGACTCAACATTATATAGGCATTATAAGTAGATTAAACCAGGACTTAAGTCATACTATATAAATGATTTATTATTATTGTTAGGTAATACATTTTTATTTTATTACAGAAAATAGATCCAAATACTGGTAACCAAACATTAAGCGCTCATCCAGGTATGGTTTTATTATTATTATTTTTAATCTACGTGTATATGACATAGACCTTATACTAAGGTAGGAGTATAAGATCTATGGTATATAACCTACTTTATTTTATTTTAGCTCGATTTACACCAACTGATCAACATTCCAAAGAACGGATTCGTATTAAAGAAAGATTTGGACTCTTGCCTACTCAAAAACCAGCACCAATTTACTGATATCATAAATGTACACTATATAAGTAGGACAGGATATAAAAAATGAATTAAAACCCAGTTTGTAACTATATTTTAATAAATAAAATAAACAATTTTTTATCATAATATAACATTATCACAGAGTTTGTTTTCATTTAAGCCTAAACACATAAAATATTGGTTATAGAATGTAACAAGTGCCTTTGAATATTTAAATTAACAATGATCAAAAAATAAAACTAACAATATTTAAATGGTCTATACAACATGTTTATATACCTTAGTTAAGACTGAAATAAATAAGATTTATAAATTTCAGAAAAATGTTGTATAGTTTTGGCATTTAGTTTGTGAGTCACATCCAATACGAGACTAAAAGCTTTCAAATACCTTAGTTTGTTGAATATGGGTGTCAATGTAACATTTTTGTTTTGTTCTCTGTAAACAAGCCCTCTGCGGTATGATTGAAGTGCTTTTGATATGTTTGCATCGCAGTCAAGTTTAATATCTCGTAAACAATAATGCAGTTGTTTATTATAATCCTATAAACATAATTAATAAATTATACAATTCAAATATAAATTTCTCTAACACATTTGTGAATTTATTAAACATTACCTCTGAAGAATCCCATACTGTACATAAACCAACCATGGCTTGTAACCGAGTTTCCAGCAGTAGATTTGACAGAATAAATCGTGACAAATTATTGAATGTTAATTCAGTATTGTGTGGGAATACATAACTTTCAGCTTTTCTGAACAAATTATAAAATAAGAAAGCATAAGTGTATATTAAGTTTAAATTAAAAAAAAAATTACTTTTTGGCAGGAAAAATAATAATTGTGGGATATGTTTGAACAGTCAAATGCCAACTTAAGTCGTTATCGCTACCATTGAGTCGAAAAAATTTGAGATCTTTAACATTGCGCATTAAACGAGCAACACTGAGCAATACATGCGCAACAACTTGACAATATGCACAGAATGGAGTGTAAAAGTATACTACAACATTCTAGAAATAAAAATCAATTTGAAATCAATTCTAATAGTTATATTAGAGTATTTATTGTTTACTTCGGTGTTGTTAAAAACTGTATCTTTAAAATTCTCCGAGTTTAATGTAGGAATATTAACTGTCTCTTTGGCTTTACTTTTTCCTTTATATAAGTGAAAGTTCATATCAAGATCAGCTGTAGATCTTAAATGTCGCTTTGCTTTAGTTTCTAAAAAGTCTATGAGTAGTTTTGCCATTGTGTCTTTGGTAACATGACTAGTTTTAGGTAATGTGTGTACCATTTCAGACTAAAAAAATTATATCCATATGAAAAAGCATTATCTTCATATTATTTTTAAATTAAATTGCAATAATATTTATTGATATCCATGGTGCAATGTAGTAAATTAATTTTTAATTTTAAGCTATGATCGCTAAAGCCACTTACATTTAACATAAATTATATAACTAAAATCAATAGTGGAACCTTTTATATTTAACAAAAATATATTTCAAAATTAGTTATAAGTAGGGAACAGATTTATATGTAATAAAAATACAGAAATATGTACATATATATGTAAGTATAATTTATAAAATATGTGCTAAAAACATACAAATATGTGGGGGGGAAAAATTAAAAAAAAAAATTATAATTATTTAATTATCAAATATTAAATGTCGCCTATTACGTATCAATATATTTTTAAAACTGCTAGATTATCGTTCCACATCAACCGATATATTTAAAGCATATTTCAAGCGTATACTATCAGAAGGTGATAATTCCAAATTTTTAAAAGGGTATCTGCCACTCATTATGTCATTGATTGTTTTAAAATCAATATAGCCTGGAATTTTTTTCTGTAACAGCATGAATTTTCTTTTTTACAACATCTATTGGTCCGCTTATGAGTTTTAATTTTTCAATTGCTGATTCGACAATTTGCATACTATTATTTAAGAACATAATTTTTATTTCTAATTTTGTTAAATTATTTTTCAATGTTTCATTTTGAATAATATTTTGAGTTTTTCTAATAGCAATAATTTACAAAGTAGTGAAATATGTAAAAATATATAATTATACCAAAATATGTAAAAATATGTAAAATAAAACTATCATCATTTTAATAAGAATGATTTAAATCATGAACATTTCTTATCGAATCTTAAATATCTCGTTTCAATAAAAATATGCATTTACATATAAATCTGTTCCCTAGTTATAAGAGTACACATTAAAAATATGTATCTTATCATAATTAAAATATTTAATATTTTATTGCTAATAAGATAATGCATCTTCATTTAAATTGAATAGTTTATACTTAAAATAAAGTTAATTAAAAATATAGATACAAATAATTCTTATATTAAAATTTTAACTTAAATATTAATTCAAATTAACAAATAGATTAAAATAATAGAAATGATTTCAAATCAATTATAAAAAATTACCTTCATATCGTATATCACTACTGCTGTTCTTTCCCGATGGTGATCTAAGTTTATACCAAAAATTTTAGCAGTATGATAATGATAGTTAGAATCCAAAGCTAAAAATGTCATAGTTTTGTTTGCTAAACATTTTGATCTTAATGCATCAGTTGTGTTGTAGATGTAAGCCTCGTCTGGTTTTGAAAATCTAAAAACAAATATATAGAATAAAAATGTGTGATACATTTGAATATTATAATTCTTTTAGTTAATTCTAAATGGTAATTAAATCCAACAGAAATAAATTATAATTAATTAACATTCTATGGAGTTATACACAATAAAATATACTTACTTAAAATAATTATTAGCAAGTAAAGCTCTATAACATTCAGTTTCTTTCCAATTTTCAATAAAGGTTTCTGTGTTTACATGATTTGATAAGTTAGTCTTAACTCTAATCAAATACACAAATTGCTGATGATTATATTTAATATTTTTTATCAATAAAAAGCTTTACTTTTTCTTGTTAGACTCATCCATGTCATCTTTTGAACAGTAACTTATTTCATGGTTAAATAATATACTTTTAGACATTCTACACAAAGCATCATTAAAATAATTAATATCTGTGTTTATGTCTACATCGACATTTTTTGTTTTTATGGTGACATTGTGTTTTTTTAAAACACCAACCATGCGATCTGGATACTTGTTTAATATTATTCCATGGCATTTTTTAACTTTTTTGGGATTTTCGTAATAAAATGCTAAATAATAAGATACTTATTAAAATCAAAATTACATAAAATTAGAAGAATTAATAACATACACTTAATTTCCTTTCGTAAATATTTCATAATATAGCCTGCCGGGACAGATATTTTTTGACAGTTGAAATATTCAATGCTCAATAATTGTAACTAAAACAGACACATTATTTTGTTTGTGATTTTAATTTTAAAAAATAAAATAAAATAATAACTAGTATACATTACCATTGAATAAACTGGGTTAAAATCCAAAAAAGGATTGTATGGTGTAAATAATAACATGGTTGGTCCATTTTTAAAAGTATTGTCTAGTAACGTATTTCTACTGCGTGCAATAGGAGGTACCCATTGAGTGGTTAATTTGGTCACTTGTATTACCCATCTTTCAAGCTTTTCATGGTTGACAAACGACTCATTAAATGCCTTAATAAAATTAATAAACACTGTTAAAAAAATAAAATAATCTAGATGATTTTATTTTATTTTTTTTTTAAATGAGATTTACCAAAGTGCGATTCCACTGGAACATTTTGATCAATGGTTCTTTACTATTTATTGGCCAAGTAGCAACACACCACTTTACATAAATCTGTAATGGATCTGTTTTTAAATGATTGATTGCTGCATCCAGAACAATTTTGTACAGCTCCCAACCTTGAGTGATTTTAAAATCAACAGATGCCACTAAAACATTCTGTAAAAATGTACAACATTATATTACAAACTTGTATTCACTAATATTTATGAATAATTACATGATACTGTTGATGGATTTTTAATAAATCCAGTTTGCTATTTAACAGTTTTACAGGACGTTTCATAGTGTCTACAAAACGAGTTATATATGCTGCATTGTTTGAAGGCCCTGTATAATATATACCAACTTTGGTATAATCATAAGCCACTATCATAGGATACACTTTGTTGCCTTTGAGCACTTGGCTGCATACACTTTCTGGTTGCCAACAGTTGATAGCAGCAAAATATACCTATAATGAATTATTTTATAAGTACTCTGCATATTATTAAATATTTATTAATAATTACTTCCTCCTTGTTGATTTCACATGCTTTGATAAATGCTTCTCGAGAGTCAATAGAATCAGCATCCCATGGAGCATAGAACATAACTATAGCTAAGTCTGTCAATGATGTTTTTTCCAAAACAGTTTTGAGATTGCCCGTGTAAAAATCATCAACACATGAATTTGCACGAAAAAATGGTTTTGGTTTTGGGCCTTTGATTTCATAATCATTTTGTCTGCAATCAAATAAGAACAAAGGCATCATAGTCAGACAATTTCTTTTTACACAACTTTTAACTAATTTCTTATTGACAGTGCGCTCTCGATGTGCACAGAGGTGCAATTCTTACATATTAATTAGTGTTGCGTACGTCGTGCACGTCACAAATACTGCAAACAACAACTCCTTGCCCAAACCTCGCACGAACATCTTGAACCGTTTGTACCGATGGAACGGCAGTTGCGCAATTTCATCCGGCTGTTCCTTGATGACTTCTTCTTCTGCTGCGTTTTTCATCGTTTACACTCATCGGATCCGGCGGTAATCGAGACGATCGCTAAACACACACCAATCAGACCCTCTGGTTGAAGCAATCTCGGAATCCTTCAACAATGCACCGTGTTCCTGGGGGATATCCTAGATGTACCTTTTTCCGGGATGACGGAGGGGAGAGTTAATGGACACAGAGGAGAGGAGGTGAAAAGAAATAACGAAAATTATAAAAAATGAATTCCAACGAGAAAACCTACAAACATTAATCGTATTACGTGTACGCAACGTAACTGGAACGAATAACAGACAACGGCTATCATTATTACAACTATTATCACTGAATAGAACGCCAACGGTATTCCCGTTGATAAGCCGACAAGAGATAAGCTTACGAAAAATGGAGTCTGTCTATACCACAGAATAAAACAGAATGGACACTGATAACAAATTACATGTGCTGCATACATAGAGTAATTACTCTATGGCTGCATAGGACAATAATTAAATCAGTCAGCCATTTTATTTGAGGTACAGTAGGAAGTTAGTAACATTTTATTCCATCATGAAACGTTAGTAAAGGTATGGTTTAATAGACGCGACCTGTCGTCGCGGTCGATGTCCGCGACTGGTTGTCGCGACCTATTTCGTATAAAATGGTTTCCAAGACCGCGACATGTCGCAACGGCCGAACTTTTCAATCAGCGTTCGTAGTTAACATACGTTTTTAGTTTATTTTCAAACTTGTTCGAGTACGTTCGTCTTTTTCATTTAATTTTACAATGAATAGTTATATTTATATAATAATAACATTCTTTTAACAGTTTTATTAGAAGAAGAAAAAGATCAAATTATAGGTGATACTTCATTGCAAAAAATAGAAAACCTATACAAGAAAATATTTAAACATCGGGACAGTGAAGGATTTTATGAAATTCTTATCAATTGACACTATAATTTTTATCTCCAATGTTGAAAAGAACCGGATTCTTTTGTACCTCTTGAATAAGAATTTCGTCGTCGAACACAGAAAAAACCAAAGTAGACGCCATCATGCTGAAAATTCATGACGATCGCTGTGAATGCCACGGTGACTTGTCGCGCAGTACTGCTCCCGGAGCAGTAGTGTCGTCGATCGTCGCGACCCAAAGTTCGGCCGTCGTGGTTTGTCGCGCGTTACAAACCAGTCTATATGATTTTCGTGTAAGCAGTTACTAACGACATGTCGCGGCGACAGGTTGCGTCTAGGAAACCGTACCTTAATATTCTTTATAAGCTACTGCGCATTTTCAAATGTTACTAATAGTAGTATTATTTTTCAAGGTATTAGGTGCAATAAGAGTTTGAGATTTGGGGAGCTTGTAAATCTTATACTATGGTATGACCATGGGTCAACCCCCAACCACCCATCATTACCAAAAAAATATAAATTGTGTTTTTGTAAATGTATTACAATTGTATTTGTAAATTTACTAAAACAATGATTTGAATTTTATAGGATTATATCGATATAAACGTTTTTAATATACTTAAAAAATTTATATAAATACCTGTATAATACTATTTAATCATCGATGAATCTATTTTATACATATTGTTTTTTTTTTTTAACACTTCCCATTCTGAAATCGTGCACATGGGCCTGTATTATAGTAGACATACTATCTAAAAAATGATCTACAAGTAAAAACTTCTTGGTATCCAGTAGGTCACCATGTTTCACACTGTTAGATCACATATTGAATAATTACCATAATTGAAATTACAATTAATAACGAATATCAGTTATCACTGATTATAATTTTATAACAAAAGTACTTCAATTAAAATGGCCGCTGATTTCGTTGCCGCCGTGTTGTGTCCACCCCCTGTCTATACGCAGTTGATTAGACCAGGAGGTGAACACAATTTATAATTTAAGTATACATATGGTTTTGTCATAATTTATATTTTGTTATATGTGAAAAGAAATGGTAATGTAAAATTGAATAATTTTTATTATTGTTAATCATGTTTTACAAGAAGTAGTTTTGAAAATGTCATAAATTTAAACTAGGTATAGTTAAAAATGTAAATATTTTTTAAAGTTTTACTCTTCATGTAATAACGTATTATTATTATTTAATTTTTATTTTGCTTTCATCAAAAACATAACCTACTAACCTACAGCAATGTAATAGCATATAAATATATATATATAGTAATCACAGATATTATATTTACAGTTGATTAGATTAAAAAAGCATATTTTATAATTATAATATAATGAATACTACCGACTATATATGTGTACAATTGGATCTGCGATACTATTGAAGATTTTAATCCGTTTTGAAAAATTAATTAAGAATTTTTCCAATAATTATGTATAAACCTTATAAATACTATTTAAAAACACAGAAAAATAATGAAATATATTGCTAAGATTGACGAATTTAAAATAATTTATTTCGTAAAACTGACAGTTTTAATATTTGTAATGATATAAACATGACAGAATTTGTATGTTAACATCGACACATCACTAAACACGCACATTAAAATAAAATGCAACTACGAGTTGGTAGGACATTATAGGAGACACTATTGATGATCATCAAATAATAGTTTTTTATTTGCTTAAACATATATTATGAAAGGGAACAGTTAGCAATGTAATTTGTGAGTGAATGATTTTTTAAAATTCATTGCAGGAGACTGAATGAGAAATATATCCATAAATAGTATAATAGTTCACTGGACAATATCACAATTTTTTTTCAGTACTATTATTTTATATTTCCTTATCAAAATAAATAAAATGTTATTGAAATCAATACGTAATAAAATATATTAAGTAAGTTATAAACAATGTTTATTACCTGAATAATATAGTTATTTAGGCTAGTCCAGAGGCAGTGTACATAACTTTTGTATGGGGGGGGGGGGGATCATTTGCAAACAAATTATTATTTTTATTTTATCATTATTATTTTTTTTTTTTATGTTTCTAACGCCCGGACGTAACCTCATTCTAAGAATATTATTTTATAACATTTAAAAAAAGGCCTAGGGGGTTCTAACCTCAAAATCCTCCCTTGTATATGCTACTATAAGGGGGCTATTATTATTAGTGAGGCCCTTTTAAAAAAAACCATTTCATTTTTTTCCAGATTTAGTTATTCGTATTAAATATTAATTAAAATAAGTTTAATTTATTTATATATTGTTGACAATTATAATAACCTTTTTTTTTTAACATATTTATTTGATGCCGTTTCATGTGAAAAAAAAAAAAATTGGCAGATTATTGTGACTCCTTTCAACTTGCGACCCGGGACTATATCTACTCCAAGCACCCCTTGATCCAACCCTGCTTGAGGTCTTCTGTAATATGTTTGTCTTCTATCGGGTTAGGGTAGCAATGGCTAGGGATCTTGCGTATTTCCATCTGCTACTATATAGATAAGAATGTAATTAACAGTAATCCAATTGTAATTAGTGGCGTACTTATGAATTTTTTTGTGGGAGGTATATTTATTTATTGAATATTTTGTTATGGTATTTTGTATATTGTCTGTATTAATTATAAAATAAAATCTAAATTAATTTTTTTAATGTTAGTAAATGCATAAATTACTTTTTAAACTTGAACCTGTCTATGCCTATGATTATTAAGCAAAGCTATCCCAACCAAGCTTTCTTCAATCTTGATCCACCTCAATCAAGTTTTTTATCTAAGATTAAAAATATAAACATCTATGCATGATGCAAAAACATTAAGCATATAACTAAATCTATAAAAGTTATATTGTTGATTTGTATTCATTAAATAAATAAAATAAAACGTTCTTAAAGTTTAGAAACTACGCTCAGCAGAAATTAAATAACCAGGTTAGCAAACAATAATATGAAGTATTTTTATTCAATATTTGGATACAATAGTTCATTACATTAGCCCATAAATGTAAATCGACTGATATGTAAACTATGAACGCCTTTGTTCGCAAACTCCTTAATACTCACCGTTTCCTATAATCATGTTCATTTAAAATACAAAATTATCACCATTTATTTTGATAATATTTATATACTTATAGTCGGTCTGGTCATATCAGGCGGGCAGGGATTCCTGTCTTGGCCCTAGCTGTGTTATATATTTCGGGGCCACCGTGCACTAATGAAAAAATTAAAAATAAATATTCATATCACTAGATCACCATGGACGACAGCTAAAAGATTACGATTAAATCGTTAATAGAATAATACAAAATCGTTAAATTTGTAAGAAAAACGTTATTCAACTATAGAACAATTTCGAGACGGATCGAATAAAAATCTTTATTATTGGATATTATCAATAGTTGGTAGTAGTTAAGTTTAATGAAGGTACATTATACTTTTTAAAAGTTAATGTAATGCTATCTGTTTTATTCGTTTCAAATATTCCTACCTGGACTCATTGGCATTTAAATCGACCCTGTACATACTGATATTCAATGTTTAGACATACAAAATCTATTAGATGCATATTGCTATAGAACGATGAGATGTTTATCACGCGAAAAATAAGTGAAAAATTTAAAAACTATTTGATAAAAAAAAATTCATAATAAATTAATGAAAAATGAAAATGAAAGGATATAATGGGGGAATGAATTTATTTGGATTGATAAAAAAATGTGGAACGCTTCACGATTTTGCGTGTCATCCTTGCGCAGGGGCCATGCTAATCTTCTCTGTATCGTTCCAATTTTAGTATATGTACTGCCGAAGCAAGTACACTAAAGGTTGATGATTTACTAGTATATATACTGCACAAACAGTAAGAGACGTTCACAAGTGAGAGTTTGTCTACGTCGGTTCTGAATATAACGATTGCGCACTTTCTTGTTACCGGTTGAATAATAGATAGCGCTACTATATCACACCGACATTATTCATTGTCTCAAATTATCAACAGATAAGAATGGACTATATATTAAGATAGATACTTACATATTAGAAGTATAGAATAACATTTTAGAGAAATTAACGTTTTTATTAAATATTAATACTGAATATTTATGTTGTGAAAATGACAAGTTTTGCTTCAATCATTATTCATTAATGATTCATAGAATTTTTATAAGGGGTGAAATATATATAATATTAATTGTTTTAATTCCTAACATATTATATTTTAAAAATTTAAATTTTTTTTATTATTCTATGTTTTGTAATATTTGTGTAACATGTAATGATAATTATAACCAGGGCCCGGAAGTTCTAGCAAATGCATATTTTTCTTGGTTCATCTTAGAAAATCCGAAGTAAGATACAAATATGTTTCTCACTACTCGGATATAATACATAATATTTAATTTTGACATTTTTTGTATATTTTCGGGTTTTATTGCTATTTTGCTAATTTAGTGTTTATAGTGCTATTTTCGGGTATATTTTCACATCATGTAGGAAATAATCATATTTTGTTGATAATAATTATATTTACTTGGTTATGTTTTTAAAAAATATTTTAATTATTGGAAATAAATAGACCTCATCAAATATTATTTTATGTTTTCATCGAAAATTTGATGTATTAATAGTTAGTTACGTCATTGTTATTCCTTTATTATATCATTGCATTAGATTACCAAACATTTTAATAATCTAGAATAATTTCCAATATAAATATATGAAATGATTTAATAATAAGTACATTTTTGCAAATATATTTAAATAATTTAATATTTTTGTTAACAGTTTATAAATCAATTAGTCCAGACTGTGTCTAATGAGACCAACAATTTGTAAAATTACATTTTTTTCAAGTTAAATGTGTATTTTTTGATTTTTTGTGCTATTTATAGCGCATATTTAAGTACTAAAAAGTAATATTTTTAGTGTTATAACTTAAGAGCCCTAACTATAACATAACATTTGCTTTGTAATTAAAATATAATTAATATTCAACAGAAAAAATCATATTAATTATTAATATGTTTATTTATCAAATGTTAAACAACTAGCAAATAAGATTTTTTAAATACTAAAAAAAGAATATACAATTTTTAACTACATTTGTATAATAAAAAGTTAGTAACATTTAATAAATAATTAAGAAGTATATATAACATAAAAAATATTTATTATAACTTTTTTTTTGTCGACCTGTATTAAATGGAAAAATATTCGGTCCCTGCTATTTCTATATTATATAGGTTTTATTATAATATGAAAATTTAAAATTGGCTGTACAATGAGTATTAGGAACATGAGCACTTAAACTTTTAATGTTGAACAAATCATAATTATATTATCAGTTACAGAATATGATTAATATTTAAATTATTTATTGCTAAAACCTTTTAATAAAATTGAATATGGATCTCACTTTTTTCTTATTAGACACTGGTCTATCAATCAATAATATAGTTATAATTAAATCAATTCTTAATTTCACATAACAATTAAGCTTAAAAATCAAATTATTTGCTTTAACAATTACTTTTTTGTTATGAATTAATAATGTATATGTATGATAAGGAGGATACAATCATTTATGATTGAAATCTCAAAAAAAAAAAAAATTAATTATTTAATTATTGTTTATGTATAGCACTCGAATATTTTTGATCATGCCAAAATTATTTAAGAAATGCAAAATTAAAGTTCAGTAATGACTAAGATATGCATTATAATAATTTATTTCACATTTAGACCAACAAAAATTGTATAATAATTTAAAAAATAAATCTTGGATAAAACCTCTACTTGAAACAAAAATTCGAGTAAAAAAACAATTAGAATATACAATATAAAACAGTATAAATCAAGTTGAACAATATTAAGTTGAATTAATATCAAGATATTTAAGCCTACTAGTGATGTCAAATAATAAATCTGGTAATCTTGGAAGTTCTATTTTCATTTCTGAGTCATCCATTACTTTGTCAATTCTAAAATATGAAAAAAAAAAAAAAATTAATTAAATGTAAAATACAGACAATTTATATTGTCTGTATATTATATATTTGTATTTACCCCAATAAAACCGAATCACTTAATAACAAGCCTTCTGTAACAAATTTGTCTAAAAGTATACCAGCCTTATATCGAATACTTTGATTTTCATTTAGTGTTATAAGTATCATGGAAACAACGAATGATACTTGATCATATTGTATCCACGAGTTAATATTATTTAACATATGTACGATTTCCTGTAAATATTATTAATTGAATAAATATAAGAAGTAATCCAAAAAGTTATTGGTATTATTATAAACTGTGATGGTTAAATAATTATATATTTTAAGATATTTATATTAAAAAAAAAAGTTTGATATAAGTCCGAAATAGATATTTCAAAGAAGTAATTTAATTATTAAAATCATTGCAACTATCAAGAATCGCCAACATTTTCAAACAAGTGAACTACATTCTAAATTTTAGTTTCTGATGATCTATATCTAGGAGATTTTAGTAGATTTGTTTGATAAGTAATAAAAAAGGTCGAATAATTATATTGTTTACTTATAACAATAATCTAATAGTACATAAACAAATAAAAGAAAAAAAAAACTAAGATTTTTAATGTGATACCTGGCATTGGTTTTACAGAAACCAATGTCAAATTTTTTTACTACCATCAATTTATATTTCTAGAAAGATAAACAAAAAAAAAAAAAAATTGTTTTTTTAAAATTATTGCAATAATCAAAATTTATTCCCTATCTTATTATATTATTTTTTATATTCAAAATACTGATTATAAAATAAGTAACCTACTACATACATTGAAACTTTTCTTCTTGTCAAAATTGTTAAGAACAACAATACATTCATCAATAATACACTGGGCCATTACAGTATATGATTTAAATTCATATGGTTTTTTTAACTTCTCTGGCAATTTTTCAAAGGAAACATGGTTCTTATTGTCCTCAATTAACTTAACAGATTCTGTAAAATATGTATATATAAAATTACTATAAAAAATTAAAGTGATTTAAATAGTTCATAAATTATGTTATTTAGATTCAATCAAAAATATATTAAATTAAATTAAAACTGTTCAGAAGATATGTATTTTGTATATTATTTATTTATTTTATTTAATAAAAATAAGATGTTGATGTTTTTATTTTGAAAACTTGAAGAAATCATTATTGCAAACTAATCATTGGTATAAAAAGTTTTTCAAAACAATTATTTATTGCTACATAAAAGTTTATACGAATAAAAAATTACAGAATAATCTAATTTTATCTTACTTTCTAATATACAATTTGAAAGTAATGTTACAACTTTGTATAACTGCTAAACATATATAAAAGGTATAATTTAAAATTTTTAAATTTAAATCATTGAATATATTATAACAAAATATATATATATAATACATGACATATAATAAAAAAATTACTAAATCTTAAAACAATTTATTAAAATAAATACATAATATAATAAGTTAATAGTACATTTTTTCTAATGAATAATAATATTTATATAATATAATTTGAAATTTGACATTATTACCTTCATTTATCCAATCTTTTAAATGTAAGTTTTGTATTTTGAATATTAAAGACTTTAGAGTTGGTGACATTTCTATGAGGGCAGAGTTTTCAATATTAAATAATAAAATATGATTTACTATACTGTCCAAATTATGAGTCTAAAAAAATTAATTAAGAGGTTATTTGTACTAAAATTCTCTATTAGTTAACTATTTTGATTATTACTTTAGATATTTTTGGTCCTGCTACTTGTAATATTATACATAAGCAATAAATTTTCAGATCATCTTTTACTCTCATTAATTCTTCAATGCATGCCAATATAATTTTTTCGGTAAAAGCCCCTTGTTTGTATAATTCACCAATAAAACTATAAAAATATTACTTCGTACAAGATATACAAATTATTAATTAATTTTACTTTAAAACATACTTGCAATGTGTTAAAGACCTATTATAATATTGGAAATAAAAAGTATTCAATGAATTCTTGAAATTAGATGGTGTCTATAACAGATATCAAATATTTATATTATTTGAAAATCAATTGGTGGAAATGTATTTGAGTATAATATGGTTTTACTCAAAGGCAAATTATAATAGTTAAGTTTGAGTAGTTTAGATGAGGAATCCTACTCAAGACAGTTTACTTATTAGCTATTATAGTTATTTATATAATACATATTTGATTAAATAGTATTATGTTAGAATAAGTATTGATTTAAAATGATACAAATCAGTTTATTTATAAATAAAAATTAATTATGCAAGTATTAATACTGAAATTCTTCTTAAGCTTGAAGTGACTTAAGATTAATATTTGTAATGATTATAGATTATACTTTATAATATAGTATACCTAATCACAAAAATACTATTATTATATTAACAAAATATAACTAGTTACCATATTACTATTCTTAAACTTTTCTTTTAATTTATGGACTTCTGTCTGAGGAGTATACTGTGAGGTAAAGACATCAAAGCTTTTTCGTGCTAATACTTTCTGAAAAGTAGTTTTTGAGTTGTGCAGTTTATTAAATGCAGCATCATTGATCAAGAATGCACATAGTTGTGCGTATAAAACTGCAAAATTGGGTCTATTTAAAGCCTAGATAAGTAAAACCAAAAATGTAATAACTATTATAATTATTAATAATATTCACATACCCTAGCATAAATTATATCCACAATCTTTTCATATATACAAATTGTTTTCATTGGTATGGAAATAATTTTTTGTGCCATTTTATCAAAATTGATAATATTTAAATGATGGACAGTTGATTGTACTAAATTAAATATTTCCTAAAGTAAAAGAAGTTTAAAATAACAATTTTAAATATTTTTTAAAAATAAGGTTACATAAGTAAATAAAAAACATATCTTCATAAAAATGTACATAACAGTACAATATATTGTATTTTATAAACTTGGACATAAATCTATAAACACACAATACACATTTTTAGTCAGATTTAATAATTCTTAAACATAAGATTAATATTATTAATAATTACATCAAACTTCAAATATTTTAAATTATACAACATTGAATACTTACAACTGGATTATAACTAGTTTCCATAGTAGTTATTAAATGAAAAAACAAATATTTCTGAAAATACAATTTTTTTCATAAGTAACATAATTTAATACAGGGAATCTATAGTTAAATTAGGTATATATAATTACTATTTATTAGCCACAAATTTAGGGGGTAGGTAAGACTAATATTTGAGGGGCAAAAATGTTGGTTTAAAAATTATTACTAGTTACTTATAATTAATTTAATTACATAATTATAGTCTCACAAAGAAATACTATTTGGTAACCTTAATATAATTATTTATGAATTAAATTCTGTGAAATTTCATTTAAAAGTAGGTGAATAAATATTAAACGTCTCTGGATGCAAAACTTTACTATTGAATAAATTAAACAAATCTTAGAGTAAAACCAACTGGTCTAATAAAATAACTTCATTCGTACAGTAAAATTTCTAGTTTTAAAACAACATTATGCATAACTATAGGCCGTAGTAAAAATTATCATTAAAACAATTTAAAAAAAATATATTTCAATAAGGAAACAGTGAAATTAATTAAATAATACCTTTCAATTATAATCTGTACTTGACAATCCTTTGTACAACGGAGATTGATAATCATTGACGAAAATAATGGTTTATAAGATGCAACGCATCACACAAAAATGATCAAATCAATTGTTAGCGCAGATCACTAAACAATAAAATGGATATATCTAATATTGTTGAGCAGAAAAATGATTTATTCATTGACCATACGCCATAGCTACGTAGTAGTTAATTAACTAATAACTTTATAAATTTTATATTCACACATATATAATTTTGATAGTGATCACGGAAAATATTTATATTATTAGATCGATTTGATAAACGATAATACTATTTTATATTGAATTCTCAAACACAGATGGCTGTAAACTAACTATATTCGTATTTAATGCATGAAAGTTTTGTATCTATTTTTGTATCCAATGATAGTGTAATTCGTACTGGATACAAACATGCAATCCGGTCATAGTAATAATTACTCTATGTAGCTGGCTAATATATTACATAGCATAACGAATAAAAAATTTTTTTTTGGTACCAGTAACTTTTTTATTGGTTATGACTATGTTTGGTGTGCTGATTTCAATAATGCAATTAGTTTTTTTTTATCAGCTCTATTGAGATTTATGATGGCTATAAAAATAATTTTAAAAGTATGTATGGTATTAAATAATCAATGATAGTAAGTATTTCACCAACCGTTTCTATCTGTTGTTGTTCGTTTTTGTAAAGATAAACTGGTGACCATTTTAAATTTATAAAAATAGGTTGAAATATTAAACATACGTGATTTACGTAACATTAGCGAACCAATTTAATCGCTTTTAATTCAATTTTAATCAGTGAATCAGTACGAGCATTTTGTTTGTTTTTATTATTTTTTTCTTTGTAAGTTTCTCATTTTATTATTAAAATTCAAGTTCTTTGTATAGCAATTAATGAAATTAAATAATGCCATCTAGTCGGAAAGTTGTATCAATCACCCCGATGTGTTATGCTACGTGTGTGGTGAGTACAGAAAAACCATTTCTGATTTTGTTCTATTTATCTATTTTGCAATGAAGTTTTTTTTTAATCATTTACAAAACAAAAATTATTCATAATTACCAATATCCCAATTTTTGAAATTGTTAAAAATAGATACAATATTGGGAGTGCGTATAATAGCCGATAATATATCAGCCGATCCGTATTCTAGCCGAAAAATAAATGATCCTACCCGTAATTTGTCTGAACCGTATTTTAGCCGACACGTATTTTAGCCAAACCATATTTAAGCCGACATTCCTAAAATATGTTATCTCCTGCTATCTTATATCGTATTACTGATTAGGTTATAGATCACGATATAACATGATATAAGATTTTTTGGCGCCCTTAATCCCCTCCTTACCTAGTTTGAATAGTAGTAAAATTAAATTTTTTAGTAAGTTTAAATAAAATTATAGTATATTTTGTATTATAACTTTAAACTTTTTTACCTGATTATATAATATTGTAATAAAGTTATTAACTTATAAAATTGTAGATTGTTAATGCGTATTAAAAGATAAATTAAATAAAAATAATTTTCAGTTTGGTTTCCCGGTCGCCCATAGCTTTCGCCGGTTCTGCTATGAGTACCTATCTGACTATCATAACATAGTATCTATAACCGTGGTATAAACTATTACCACAGCATGATATTACCATGCTCAAATGACGGTTAAAATACGGTTCGGCTGAAATATGTGTTGGCTAAAATACGAATCGGACGAAATATGTGTCGGCTAAAATATTTTCGGCTATTTTAAAGCGTCTCATAATATTTAGTATATATTTAATAGTGATTATAATTTATTTTGAATTAATATTAATACCTTATTTGCCTATATTTTTTTTTGCATATATTTTTTGAAAAATAGGTATATTTGATAAATATAAATGCATATATTTGCAAATTTTTAAATTTTTAATTGCATATTTTAATGAAATTTTGGTCATAAAAATACGAGCTCTAATTATAAGATAAATGTTGAGGGTTAAGAAATTATATATATTTTTTTTAATTTAATTTGTTTAATTATATCACGAACTATAAAGGTTTTAAAATATTAAGATATAATTTCATTAAAAATCGATTTAATCATTTATTAGTTTTAATCTTGGAAAACAAGTTTATTTCTTGTATTTTAAGTATTCTTTAAGTGTAAAATTATTTTATTTTATTTAATACTCCTAAAAAATAACATTAATTTGAAATCGTTAATAACTTATGTTTTAGATTTTTAAACGTAGAATCGGTTTAAATAGCATGAGATATAAGACAAAACATTTTCATAAAATAATAAAACAAATAGAATAATGCCTGGAAATAATTGTATTATGCGTGACATAATGAGCATGTATGATTAGAAAATAGCATTACATAAAAATCTCAAGCCACTGAACACTATTAATTCATGCAATCCCCAGAATGTTGGCCATCATTAGAATACATGTTTCCGTTTTGTGCATTTCAAGACGTTTTAGAAGACAAGGAAAGCTTTAACGCCTAATTCATTAAATGAAAAAAATTAAATAAAGTACTTGAATAGCTTTTTACACAAATTTGACTTTTCTAAGTATTTAATAAAACTATTGAAAAAATCAAAAACGTACCTACCAATGTTAAAAACTTATAACTATATTCAATTTTATTCGAATTTTTTATGTAGTTATTTTTTTACATTTTGTATAATTTTGCTATCTATAAATAAGGGTTTTGCCTTTAGATATAAAAAAATGTTATGGTAAGTCCAGATCCTACATTTTTGGCTCTGATTTGATCAGAATCTAAAATTATAAAATATTAATTATTGGTACCTAATTTATAATTTATAGGTAGGTAATAATAAAAATTGAGTACTTTAAAATTGTAATAAATAAATACTCTACATAGTCGCAAATTAAATATTTATTTCCCATATTATGTAAATGTATTGTAGATAATGAATAAAATATGAAACATATTAAAGTAATGAATTTTCATTTTTCCTTATGATTTAAAATGTCTTTTTTGCCCATTTAACACCAAGAAAAGTTTAAAAAAGATACACGAATAAGTGTATAGAACTTTTAACCATTTAATATACTTACCTAATCACTTTAGTCTATAATGACTGTAATGTTATATAGATTCGTGTTTATATAGATCGTTTGTTGGACTTTCTCATTCTAAACAATACGTTTCGCTTACTTGTACTCATATATATATATATATGTACCCGATTTACATCAACAATATTGTTATAATGGTGTGCACTCGTGGTATAGAACTTGTGTGAAAGTGCTCAAGTGCGTGTTTGTAGGACATCGTTATAATCTACAAAGCGCGCGCATACTCACAAATACAAACATTTCATGTATACATTTCCATTTTTAACGAACGACAGCAGCAGAGTCTGCGCGTAGTTATGAAACGAGAATTGCCGTGCGAAATGCATGGGAAAATATGCAAATTATATGAACTAAAATGACGATATATTACAAAAACAATTATTATATCGCCTGGGCGTTCTGTCGAAAAATAATAATAATAATAAAATATTAGTCGGCGGCGACGCGTTAATCGTTTGGCTTGCAATTCAGTGGTAGCAACAGCGGCGGCGATTATAAGAGACTGTGAACTTCATGTACATAACACATTGTGAAAGACGTCGACGACTGACTTGGCTGGCGGTGCGAGCCAAAGCATATTACGTTTGAGAAAAAAAAAAAATTCTGTTCCGAGAGCCATAAAACGTTTGTGTGTAATAACAATCATATATACACAAATGTATTATATACGTATACATTATACGCAACTTCGTATAGCACGTTCTACAAGTGGTCTGCGGACGGATTTATAATACCTCCAGGATCTGCGGTAATCGAAATGAAGCGAAACCACGCGCGTTATCGAATTTATGATTCGGAAATGTAACACGTGATCTCGATCTTTTTATATATTTTATGCAACGAGCAGTGACGGTGCTAGAGTTTGCGAGGCCCTTGCAAAATAAATGTTGGGTCTTATAATTTATATTAATAAAATATTTTAAGTTTAGTTAAATCAGAACCGCCGGGGCCTAATTATAATTTAAGGCGCGGGGCCCTGGTCAACTGCCCCTGTTGCCCACCCCCTCGCGCCGTCCCTGACGACGAATACAGTAATTTTTCTT